TGCGATTGGAATGAAATAGTAGTAGTAGTAGTAGTAGTAGTAGTAGTAGTAGTAATAGTAGTAGTAGTTAGTAGTAGTAGTAGTAGTAGTAGTAGTAGTAGTAGTAGTAGTAGTAGTGGAAGTAGTCATCGCAGTCGTAGTGGTAATAATGGTGGTAGTGGTCAGGGCAAGAGCAAAGGCAGTGGTGGTGTTAGTAGAAGTAGTAGTAGTAGTAGTAGTAGTAAAAGTAGTAGTAGTGGCAGTAGTAAAGGCAGCGGTGGTGGTGGTGGTGGTAGTAGTAGTAGTAGTAGTTGTTGTTGTTGTAGCAGTTGGAAGAGTAGTCGTGCTATTGCTAGTATTGCTATGACTGTTGTCATAATTTCATAATACGATTGCAGAGCTTGATGCCTTCTTCGTCTTGGCGTCAGAGCTTTGAGAAATGGAGTTGTGGGACATAGAGGTGTATGGAATCTTGCCTCACCTGGATGTACTTACGAAGGTGCTTGTCTTTTGGAGGCTCGCTCCGGGATACCACTGCAATCGTCGACAATCCATCATTTATTTGAATGGCTTTCGAATTGTGTGGACCACTTCCAAGTAATCTCCCTCAAGTCCAAGCAGCCGCGGAGACTTCAAAGCACAAATTCAACCCGCTGCGATGCAAGCGCTCTACACTTTGCATCCCTGAGTCCCTTGTCTGATGTGTGTTCTTTAAAGGAGACGATGACAACATGTGCTTTTCACTGAGCTTAGAGCCCTTAACCTCGAAGCTCTCATGTATCAAGGCCCACCTTACCTTGAGCAAGAGTTGCACGGCATCTTTGTGCCCCGCCTTCGTAACAAGGCATCAGGGGTTTCAGCCCTACAGCCTCGGTGTCCAATCCAGGAGAGCACAGACACCCAAACCCTCCAAACGTCTCCAAACTCCCTGTTGAGGATCGTTGTGAACACCGTTGAGAGGAGAAGCCCGGGTAGAACGTGCACATTCGAAACGACTCCTTTGCCAGCCTGAACCCTACGTGAAGGTTCGGCTGGTCGTGTTTTCTTCGTCATGGGGACCCGGGGGGAGACTGTTGGTTTTGTACTAGCTGCAGCATCTGGCTGCATGTTCGCAGGAACACAGCTACGGCATGAACCGTCTTCGCCTGGGGCAGTTCAACGGATGCAAATCTGAAATTGGGGGAAGGTCAAATGTGACTTTGGGCAGGATGCTACGCGGTGATGGATGGGTTGAACCCAAAAGCCACCTGCGCCAAAACCGGGACCGGAGACCGAAACTTCTGACAAGCAGCCTATGGCCTCAACCCTATCAATCCCCTGAGCCTAAAACCTACAAACAGAACCTCAAGGCCACCTACCCCACAACACATCTTAACCGTCAGATCGAAGCATGACACCCAATTCTGTGCACACAGCCCTAAAACTCCATAAGCCCACAAGAATTCCAACGCCAGTTTATGCAGTCCTTCCGACAAGCTTCCTGAACTCACATGCCTGGGGGTGTCGGAAAAACTTGTTGAATCTCTGGCCTGATTTTGTGCACTTTCATCCCGCTTGCGGGCAAGTTGCCTGAAGCAGCCTGTGTTCTGAGCGCTCATAATAATGATAACTACCCACCAGCTATCTTCATGGCTGTTGTTTTCTGAGGCAAAGCTTTCCATTTCTGCGGCTGTGCTACGTCCTGTGAGTTATAGAGTAAAATCAAGTTTATTATGCTTTTCTATGTGCAAGGTCATCCAACGCGAAGTTCCTTCACCCGGAAGATGGAATTCACAGAGACATTGGCAATGGCCGCCGGCAGCCCGACCCGATCAACTACCTTCCCGCTGAGCGCCAAGCTAAGTCTAGGTCTTTTGATCTTTTAACGAAACCCTTGCACACAAAAGCACTGGACAGGTGCCATGCCTGAGCTGCGTGATGCAGCGCGGTTCTACAGCTGCGATCCTGCAGATGAGATGTTACAAGCGATCGCAAGATTTTCCAAGATTCCTACTCGGCTTCGTCGCTTTGTGTACCCTGCGTGTGCTGAGTAAATGCCCGGACAGACCCGACAGATCCAGAGGCAACCAGGCAATACTATACCGCACTTCCCAGAGTCGCGCGTGCAAACACTTGCACATTCCACAAACCACGGTGATGCTCCAATGGGCTGCTTACAGCTGTGGACACTTTGTCATGAAGGCTGCTGCTGCTACTGCTGCTCCTCCTGCAGCTGCTGCTGCTGCTACTTATTACTACAGCACTATTCCTGACAACTGCACCTGCTGCTACCGCTTCTACTACTCCTTCTCCTGCTCCTGCCCCTTCCCTACCCAGCACCACACTACTACCAGCATTACTAGTGCCCTGTACGACTGCGCTGCTAGTCGTGAAGCCGAACTGACAACAGCTGGCAATCCCTCCATAGAGATGTGATGTTGAGAACAGCTTTTTGAAGCCACATGCAAGTTTGGGCAGAACAACCGAAACGCCTGTATCCCAAGACCGGAAGCGCAAGGCAACAAGGTGCCCCCTAGAGCTGCCCCAAAGATACTGCTGCTGCAACTGCGGCCATGATAACCACGACAACTGCTTCCATGCATATTGCCTACCGTTCAGATGGTGCTGGTTTTCCGTTGCTGTAGTCTCTCAGGCGAAAGGGGTCAGCAGCAGCAGCAGCAGCAGCAGCACCAGCAGCGCAGTGGCAGTTGCAGGAGCTCCGACTCCGAAAAAGCTCTGGAATAGCAGCAGAGCTCCGTACTTCAACATGTCATACAGTAGTCGTTCCCTGGGTAAAATGGATATCTGGCCTATCCTCTTGCAAAGCCCAAGGCCGCAACAGCATCGTTGACTAAGCCCTCCCTGTCCATGTCGAGCAACACAGCGCCCCGTGTGCCCTTCAGCAGCAGCCTGGAGCTCGAGGATCCCATTCTTTGCTGATAATGATCTTTGCAGGTCTTTCAGCCACACATGTATTCACAGCCTGGTGTGAAGTGCATTGGAGGCATCCATACAATCAAGTGTATCGCCAGCCGGGGTCCCTAAACCACAGGCTTCAAGTCCCTTTTTCTAAACAACAGGCAACCGCGCGGCCACATCTCCAAACTGGGACGGCGACATCATGAAGGTGCAATTGCCCGCCCGGGCGCACTGCAGGAATGGCGTCACACCTTCCTTACAGGCTCGAGACTTAAGTCCGGCATGCAGGTTTCTTCACATGGTCTCAGATCCCACACAGGGACTACCAAATCTCAGATCTTTGCGACATCGAAATCGAACATACCGTCACCAGCCGAATTTCGAGCATGCAGCCAACTTTTTCACACATCCTGTCCCTGCTTCGAAAAAAGAAGCCCGCATCCTGACCCTCATCGCCCTCAAGGCCTTCAAGCCCGCGACCCGAAAACACTGTGCTTCCCTCGAGACCCGGGCAATGGCGACTACATTGAACCTTTAAAACTCAGCTAGGGCGGCAACTGCGTTCGGCTGATATGGGTCGGCCTGGCAAAGAGGCTCTTGCTTCGGCTGCAGGGCAAAAAAGCGCCTGCTGTTTTCCTGCTGCCTGCCTTGCTGCGGCTAGCCTCTAGATCAGTGACAAAACGATTCTCGAGAAGAAAGGCTTGGGACTCGGGGTTCAACGGGCCGTGAGAGGCTGAGTTTAGATCCAGGCCCCACAAAACCAAGAAAATGCTGAAATCCTCAAAACTGCAATCACAAAGGCACCTGGGCCTCCATCAACAGTGCAAAGACCTGGCACAGCTATCTCACGGACGACGGACTGATCTAGACTTGTGACGGGCACCGGCCCGGAATCATTGGGATTTACTAAAAACAATTAATTACGATATAAAGACGAGAATAGATACAAGAACAAATATGGGGAAAATACAAGAAGAATGCGAGAAAGATGCAGGCGGAGTGTTCGATGTCAAAACGGAGTACAAAAAATACGAGAAACATACGAGATAAATACGATAAAAAGTACGAGCCGGCGCCTCCGGGCTGCCCGCTCAATACGAGAAAAATACGAGCCTCGTATTTTTCTTGCATTGTCTGCTGCTGCTGGATTGCCGCTCGTATTTCCGCTTGTATTCCCGCTCGTATTCATTTCGTATCTGAATCGTATTTAAATTGCTTTTGATTCATGCCAGTCATTCCGGAACATGCCCCTCACAAATCTAGACTCTAGGAAACAGGGTTTTGGTTTTAGGATGCCTTTATTGAGCTTTCGGCTGCAGGGCTTGTGACTCGTTGTTCGCAGGATCTGGTTTCGGGGTTCGGATGGGATTCTCAAACGGGAGCCCCACACCCTCAACACCGTTCGAAAGCTATTCAACCCTACTTCACATCCATAAACCCAAAGTAAGTAACCCCTGCCCCACGGTCAGTGCGAAAGACCACGCGTGCAGAATTCGAAGTGATATTGTCAGACAAGCCCTGCAACACAGCAGAACAGGCTGCAACCACCCCAACAACATGAACATGGTATATGTCATGAGTGCTCATGCTTAACTCCTTGTCATCTTTCGTCGCGTGCCTCACCACCACCCGGAAGCCCTAATTGTGTTATTAGTTACTAACCCAGACAGATTCTGTGCTGGGGTACCTCGCGTGTCGCGTCCTGCAACATTCTGGAGGCAAGCTTCATGCATGGGGATCTTCTGTGAAGATGCATCTGAAACGGGCAACCTATACACCTGTAGAGCCATCTTGAGGGCTGGAAGGACTTCTAGGTCTGCAAAGGCCCTAAGGCCCACCTCAGGGAGTCATCAAAAGTCAAGGAGTAAACAAGTTTTAAGTGTTTGAAGGTCGAGTTCACGGTAGCAATGCTCATCTCCAGTGCCAAGACACCGTCGAAACATGTGCTTAGTACTAGAATATGGAGCCCTGCAGTATTGGCTTAAGGGTCGACGATGTCTTGGGGGACTCACGAAGCCCCGTCCTCCCGGCCGCACAGCATGGACAAGGCATTCTGTCTGCCCGTGCCATGCAGGAACTGCCTCACAAGTGGCGCGGAGCTGTCCAATAACATACTGTTGCCTTTGGTCAGGAACCTAGTTCGATGTCAAGTCTTCTTAAACTGAGTGTCATCTGATGCGAAACCTGTCTCACGCCTCAGATGCAAAAATCGTACACCTGGCTTATGTCTTGGTGCCAATGCTGCACTTTACAGTAGGTGCCGTTCGGCAAAGCTTGCGATCGGAATGGGAGCTGCCCGATGTTGAGAGAGTTGTTCGAACCACGAAATGCTCCGAACTCGCTCAGCCTTTCTCACCGCTTTGGTTCCTGTGGCGTGAGACGCTTCACACTGAAGCCGTACCAAAGCTGCACCCATGGTGCAGGTGGCACCTGACAGGCTGCGGCTCTAAGGGTACAGGTCCGCGGGGCTTGTGCGATGCTGGTACAATGTGGGTAAGGCTGCGCAAGCTACCGGCATCGATTTATCACCGCCTGGAGCTGCCAAGACATCTTGCTCCTCGGCTCCATGCCCCAAACTGCTGCAAACTTTATCGGGACTTGCCTGACCTGTGTTCTTCTGCTCAACACTTACACCCGAGAGGAATAGAATCCCCCCAAAAAACCTCAGGCTCCATCATTGGAATCATCCTCTGTCCCTCGCTCCCCACCTAGCACACGTCGGCCGGCGGGAAGCTCCGGAGCTCGGAGACCGGCTTGCAGTGTGGTCAGAAAGCAGCGTGCCATCCTGGGCTATGAGTTGGGGTAGCCCTCCTGATGTGCTTGCGGAGAGCCTAAGAAATCTTACGAGGTCGCTGTATCTTGCTAAACACTGCTGCTGGCACTGTTACATACATCTGTCAGAAAGTTCTTTCACCACTTTTACTTTGGCTGGCAGTGTTCAAGTGATTTTGTCGAGGTGGCCCGTCCAAAGCCCACCGACACAGCACGTACCCGGCAGAAGAGCAAACTAGGCGCCCGTTCGTTGACTCGAAAGTTTGGATTCAACGGAGGGCCCGGGCCGCTCGGGGTATGTTCGACGAAAGCAAATGCTTGGGTAGCTTATGTGCCGAGGTCCCTGCACGTAGCTGCGTGGCTTGCTCCACCATTGCCAACCCTCCAAAAGCTCCGTCAGTACCTGAAGTACTGGCATAAACGGCCTTGTCGAAAGACGCCGAGTGACCTGGTGTGCTTCCGAAGAAACGAGTGCGTCTAAGCTGCAACGCATTCCAGGTTGCTTGTGCCAAGCACATGGGGCACTGGCGGCTGCCATGTTTCCGTCACCAGAGCCAGGGACAGGAGACGACCTGGGCTTGTGACACATGCACGGCATAGCAGCTTCTACAGTGGCAAAGGGAAAACTGAAAGCACAACTGCTGTGAATGTTGTGACATCCTTCTACCTATGCAGAGTTCTGGTACGAAGATCTCTTTGTATTCCGAGGGTCGTATGGCAGGGCTGAGTCGTGGCATGCTGTCAGCATGGCCGGCTGCCACCAAAGTCGCAAGGATGCCGGATGTGCAAACGGCCGTCGGCATCAGATGATGATCCTTCCGTGAGAGTCTACATCTTACGTGATGGGCCAACACGTAGGGGTTGGGTTGGGTTAACTTAACCGCTTCTTGAGCATCGTGGGTCCCGTGGCCTTCATTGAAAATGCCTGCTGCAATGCCTCCTCCCAACGGTAGGAAGAGCTGCAAGATCGCAGGAGGGTCCCGAAGACGGCTGCGTTCGGGTGCATGCCCGTAGCACGCTGCATCTGCCCGAAGATCTCCAAGGCCAGGTCCCAGGCACTCCCATGTTCACACGCGCTGAGCAGAGAGCTCCATAAAATGCCATCTTGGTACCAATCGTTAGCAGCATTACAAGAAGCATAACTGCTCCCCAAAGCAAGGGCCCTCTGCCACTCTGTGCTCTGCGCACAACTGCTGACGGCGGAACTGAGCGCAACTGCATCGATCTGCCCGGTGACCAGTGCCAAGGACTGCTTCCATTGCCGCGCCTGCGTGCAGGAGGCAATGGCCGCAGCCCGGGCTGAGATGCCAGGGGCCAGGTCGATGATAGCAAGGCTGATGGCCCAGCGTGGGCCAAGGGCTTTAATCAAGGAGCTCGCTGCCACATCGTCCCAAACCAACCCGCCGGCCTCTGCTAGCATCTGAAGAGCTTGCTGCCACTTCCGGCCCTCCTTGCAAGTGGCAAGAGCCAAATTCAGGGAGATGTCTTCGGTGCTGGGGCCTTTGCCCCTGCTTTGCCAAAGCTGCTCCAGCACCCATGCGGCCCAACGCCAGTGGCCCACCTGGTGGCAAGCGCCTGCTGCCGCACCGCAGATGCGGGTGTCCAGAGGGAAGCGCTCTGCTGTCCTAGGCCACAGCTGAAGAGATGCAATTCTGTTTTGACGATGCAGAAATGGAAATAGGCAGCAGCTGCTCGCGTGAAGCGGGTCGTGAGGACACGGAAAGCAAACGGTTGGAGCTATGACCCAGCCTGAAACACATCAATCCATTCAGCACCCAAGCCAGAAAAACCGTCACGAAGACCGAATACGCAAACATATGCTTGTAGCCAGCCTAGGGTCAGTGCAGCAAGCAGCCGTAGGGGCCACCTCCATTCCTTCGACTGCCGGCAAGCCGCGATGATTAGGGCATAGGTCACGCCGGAGGGCGAGAGCTCCCGAGGTTTCATGTCTTCCAGCCTTTGCTTGGGGCTTTTCGCTGTATTGGAAGGATGCGGGCCTCGGCTTGTTCCACAACTCCCTGGAGGGGGCCCAGGATCAGAAGAGCACCTGGTATCCTATCAACTGGGCCGTTGCTGGGATCGCGCAAGCGTCTGCTGGTATTAAATATGTTCAAACAGACGAAGCAATCAACACTTGCTTGCAAGTGATGCCGGCTGCTTCGTGGTTGGGGCCTGAAAAAGCAACAGGGAAACCGCCAGTTGCTCGGGGCCTGCCTGGACCCTTGGAGTCCCACTGCGTAGCTACGCTCAGGCCTTGTGTCAGCCGCTATTGGGTAGCCCAAGTAAGTAGATGCGGTCGGAAATGGGCGGCCAAGAAGATTTACATGCCAAGTCCCTAATTGCGAGCCCTGCTTGGGCTTCGTTTTGTCCGTCCAAGGTCTGTGCCGTGTGAAGGTCGGACAGTTCAGTATTGCCAAGCCCAAAAATCTGAAGTCCGGCAGCAGAAATCAGAAATGACTGATGACAAAAAATTCAAAGAGCATGGCCTTGAAGGGGACGCCGATGTCCACCCCTGGGTCGCTGGACCCAAACAGGGTCCTAAAACAAGCCGTAGAGATCCGTAGAGAAATATTGTAGCGCCATCGGTTTTTTTTTCGGGTGCAGGGCAGTCGTGTAAATGCGAACCGGCAGCAAGCTGACAGCACGCTTCCACCTCCCGTTCCAACGACACCACATCATCTGGGCATGCACCCCAGCGAGGCACTTTCCATGGCCTTGCTCCATCATGACCTCGCAAATTTCGTGGGCTCAGAGCCACATGTGCCTGCTTTGCCGACACCGTCGAAACCTAAAGTGTCTTAATTAGCTATTTGGCTGCGCTGTCGCAGCACGAACTACGGGGCCACCGAGTCTTCGGCATCTGCCAGGACAAGTGCGTGCTGCCAGGCACGCGCCGCGTCGCATGCTGCGACGGCCTTGGCGAAGGCCTCGCCCGATGGGTTGTGCTTGGGTCAGGGTTTCAAGGTTTCGACACGCTTACCGCCAGGTCAGACCAAGTCGGAGTTCCCACTGAAACTGCCGAGGCTCTAAACTCCGGTGCCCTCACCGTCACCTCTTGTCATCCAAGCTACCGGTTTATCTTCTGAACCACCCGATAAGCTCCAAGAACTCAGAAAATCCATGCATGCAGGCATACATACGAAGCGGTCCCGTTTCCCGGCCCGGCTAAACTGCAAAAAATGTCATAAGAGAGAACAAGCCCATTCAAGACGAAGGCATCCTAACTCCTACACTTTGCCTGAAGCCTACAACGTAGCCGCTGTAGCCAAAACAGAAACCCCCGTAACATCGCGAAGTTCTACCTCTCTTCTGTGCCTCTCTGGCCAGGTGGTCGCCCTCCCAAAGGCATGCGGCAACATGCGCCCCGCCGGCGCGGCGCATGTTCGGGCGGCATTGAAGGGGGCTTCTGAATACAAGGGGGCCGAAGCACAAGGACCCCGAAAAAGGGAACCATAGTATCAAGCAGCCCCGAATTTGGAGCTCAGTGGGTTTCGGAGTTGCGGGGCTTCGAAGAACCCTCGTGGTCTGTTTGCTGAGTGGGTGCTTAATGCTCAAGGTCTCTTTCGATGTGCTTGTATTTACGAGGTCGGTTTCCTTGGGCATGAGGTGCTTGCCCGGTGTTGGGAGAGCTTCTCAGCTTGAGGCTTCAGCAAGCACTCGGTACTTGCGAGGTTTAGGGCACCTATTATGATCTCCGAGCCTTACTAGTAGGAATCTCAGCCCCGCTGGGCTGACTACGCTTATAAAAACAGCACCATCTTCATGGCCTTAGTCCCTAGTCTTCCTGTCCCCTGCAATTGCCATTCGAGTGACTAGCATGCTTCTATTAGCGGTTTCGCTGCTTGAGGATGGCGGACCAGCTCGAGCTGATACAGAGCTGAGCAAGTCAAGATCGCAATTGCAATTTTTGCCTGCCTGTAGTGACCGAGGGCAGCCCGCCTACCCGCCAAAAATCCAGAAATTGACAGCTTCAACGGCTGTAACTAGCTACACTTGGAGCCTGTAACCTTGTTACGAAGAGCTTCCCAACCCTCATCTGCTACACCACAAAAGATTGTCGATACTTTACCTTCAGACCCCGGGCCGCACGTGCCTCCGCTGCTGCTCGAACAACTCTTCTCGAAGCTTCTGCTCGAACTCGTGCCTTTGCCAGGCGTCGCGAAACGTCCAGCAGAGTGTCAGGTTGCAGGATTGCTCTGAAAATGACCCGAAGACGAGAATGGCCACCATCCAGAAGGAGGACTGGCTCCCTGGCTTTTGGCACGCCTACTGCGAAACCGCTACTGGAGCATTTGACATGTTAGTGCGAGAGGCCTCCTTTTGAGAGTTTACAAGACGCGACAATTCGGGCGACTTGGCCTTACCAAATGAGAGACTTCCTCGACGCGTGCGACTCCATCAGTGGGTAACAGGTCGCCAAAGCCAAGACTCCTCAGAATCTCAACCTCAACAGCACCTAGCAAACCACTCGCACTCTCGGCTCTTTTGGCGACATTGCTCCGATGAGAGAGACCATGACACACACACACACACACAGACAACTCTCACGGCAACGAGCAGGCTAATCAAGTGCACAGCAGGACGGCGATCATGACGAGAATTATGGGGGAAAGTTCAAACATCGTCGAAGTCAGCTCTGTCGTCGTCGCAGCGGGATGGAGGTCCGAGTAGGAGTAGCAGAGCAGCAGCAGCTGGCGCCGGACCAGGCGCAGCAGAAGGAGCAGTAGTCGCAGAAGCAGCAACAGTGTCAGTAGCCGAAGTCACGATGCAACCATAAGTCATAAGCCCATATGCACGCATCACATTGTAAAAAGACACCTTCACGTCGCGCAGCAGTGTAGATGGTTGCCAGAGACGGCAGCCGAGCAAAGCAAGAGCCATAGTCAGCTGTGCCGACAACAAGAAGGGGAATCATGTCCATGTACAAGCTGGCAGCACAAATGTAGCCGTCAATATGGACACCACATCAATTCGGCAAAAACGTAGCATGTCAAAACTGCCGGCATTGTGGAGAGAATGCAAGTGGTACTACGCATACGAGTAGCACGCCTGACATCACGTGTGTGCAAATGACACAGCAAGTGAGGAAACAAGGCGTACATACATATGAAATCTCAAACGCAACGTCCCAAACCATCATCAACCGCCTGCAATTGCCAGGGCCCCGACCTCTCAAACAGCTTCTGTCCTGGTCTCACGAAGACTGAAAACCTATGCCTATAACTGTACTTTTCTTTGCTGCGTCAGGCTGTTTCTAAGGGGGGGTTTGGTAGTTTGGTCATTTTTGGGACTTGGGGGCTTAGCGGTGTCGGGACCTTGGGATTCGAAGCTACGCTTTTTACTTGGGCTTAGAGTTTCAGGTGTTGATGTCACAGTCTTGAGTTTCTAGACCCTGGGCCTGCAGTTTCCAGGATTTATGAAGCTTCGACATCAGGCATATATGGAGATTCCTGAAGCGGTTATCCCAAAACTCCAAGCTCGCTCACTCTCACTATCTTTGCCACTATATGTTGGTTTCAGATCCTGTTGCAGCATGGAGCCCGGTAGGGCTCACAAACTCCTGTCACAAGCGGGGTCATCTCGACACGAACAATGCGCACGGAAAAGCAGCACCCAGCCAGTTTGGGATCGCAAAGTCCCACATGAGTGAGATAGAGCAATTCTCGGGTCTTCAAGGTGATCACGGGTGGCAGTCTGGATGACGACGTCAGGCCCCCAAACCCTCATCCAAGAGATTGAACAAAAGTGTGAAAGCTTGGTGGCTTGAGGCTGCATGTAGGATGATCGCACACCATTGATGCTTCTCGGGATTGATTTCTGAACCGCGGTCCCTCTAAAGTTCCAAACATGCACTACATCAGTACTACATCAACAAGGTGGCTCGCAAGGCCTCAAAGTTGCGAAGCTCGACACGAGTGACGTGCAAATAAAGGAGCTTCTCATCACTAGGAGTGTATCCGCTGCGTCCTGCAGCCTGGCATTTCCGAAGCTCTTGATTGCCGGATCCCTGTTCTAAGGTCTCAAAATCATGGGCGCCAGGAGGATCCAGCGTTTTCAAGCTTTTGCGCCTTCTTCCAGAAGCTTCTCTGCAGCCTTGTAGGACCCTGCCTCGAGCGCCACCTCCCCGCCAACGCATCACAGCATCAGCGATTTCACTATTCGTCATTCGTCGTCTTCGTATTGCTACTCCCGTCCTCTTCGGTTTGCTACTTATGACTACAATTGCAACCGCCACTGTTCGAGTTCTTGATTGTCTGGTAGTAATCTTCTTACTGCTCATGTTCTAGCAGCCATTACATTTATTGGGTGTTGATGCTGTGTATCGATATTGCAATATCGAGCGACCTTTAACTACGAGGTGCGCTCCGTCAAAGCTCACGAGTAGTTCGTAGTGAGGAGGACTCTTTTTTCCTATAGTCCTGCTGCGAGGCGTGCTGAACTCCTAGTTGCAGTCAACACCTCCACGGCAGACTGCGGAATTCCTAACACTCCTGCTCAGCCGAGCAGCCGTAGCTTGCGGACTCTAGTACGGTTTTTCAACAGCTTCGTTTTACATGCCTATGGACTCAAACTCGAAAGAGTCGCCCAAATTGGCCGCCTGAGCCGTTAGGTTGTGCAGCTGAGGAGCATTTGGCTTCATTTGCTGCTGAACATGATTGACGGTCGAGGATCTCGCAGTTCGGACGCTGCCAGACCGGCTTACGTTTCGGAAACTCACTATCCGAAAGCCATTAAGGCCTACACCATGAAGACACAAACACTCAACCCAGTGGGCAAAGTCAAGCGGCCTACAGGCTACAGGCAAAAGCCCTTAAACTGAAACCCTGGGTTGAACCGTGCAACCTTGAACCAGCGAGCCCCATAAAGCTCAGGAGCCCAAGCCTAGTTTAGGGCCTAGCGGGCCTGCGCCCGCGCCGTCTGATGTACAGGAACTGACGGCACATTTACTGGAATGGCATACCAGTTCTGCATCGGGCAACCACAGCATACACCAACCCCGAACGAGAAACCCAAAGTTCAACCAACAAACCAAACGGTCTTCAATCCGAGAGCCTGAAGCAAGCTGCATCCCTCGTCGTTGGGCTGGAGCAAAGCCACCGCCAAGGATTCCTGTCTTAAGGAGGCACGCTGCGGTGTAGGATTCAACGTCTTAGTGCTGCTATGTACGCTGTCGGATACTACTACAACTACTACTACTACTACTGCTGCTGCTGCTGCTGCTACTACTACTACTACTACTACTACTACTACCACGACTACTACTACTGCGACCACTATTACTATTACTATTGCTACGCCGGAGCCAAATTACTACTGCTACTACTACCACTACTACTACTACTACTACTACTACTACTACGACTACGACTACTACTCCTCCTGCTGCTGCTGCCGCTTCTGTTGCTGCTGCTGCTGGTACTGCTACTAGTAACTCTGTTTGAGCATTGCTCTAAAGGTCCATGTCTGCGGATTTATACAAAACGGTTTTATGATGTCAAATTGCGTGTCGGCGAAATATTTGCGAAGGGTCCGCGAAAGGAAAGCAATCATCCGCGAATTTTTCACGTAACAGACTTGGGACACAGGAGACCCATAGAGAACATGCTATCATGCTATGGGTATACCCTTTATTCCCAAGCACCCAAAGCCAGTTAATCAATGAAACTCAAGGTGTTGGCTCCTGGGACGCGAGGAGGGCTGCCAAGCCCTGGCGTCTTTGCTCTCCA